ATGTAAATAAACACAAGTTGTAAGCATGATTTGGAATATACCTTGTATATACCACCCAAGTACTAAACCCTAGGGTTTAGGGTTTAGGGTTTAGGGTTTAGGGTTTAGGGTTTACTGTATACAGGTTTTAAAAGATCGAGTGTTTTATTTTGTAAGAAAAAACCTGCTTGAATTTTGATACATTGTTGGGCTGTTGACCATATATATGTTACATAAATCAAAAATTTCCCCATCCTTCTCTGTGTGTCGCGCTTTGCTTGATTATCGCCCCAGTGCCTCTAATGCTTGGTTGACAAGGCGTACCAGTGCTTCCACGTCGCTGAATCCAATGCTGCAAACCTTCTCCAGCGCAGCCACCTTGTCTGGGGTCAGGACTTTGGCCGCAACCACGGCCGCCAGCACACTCTCTGCCTTATTCCAGATATCAAAGGCCTCAAACACGTCTGCGGTCTGGAACAAGGAAGCGAGAGCGTTACATCCATGGCTGGAACTGGAGTGATCCAAATCCAAGCAAGAGAACTGAACTTACATTCCGAACGAAACGAGCAAGCGTTGGCTGGAGTGCCGGAGGTACAGTGCCGGTGCTTTGGACGAGCGGTGACACGGGTCCTTTCCCGGTGCTCGAGAACGTCTTATCGACAGGGGGGAGCATCTGACTGTTGAGGTTGTCGAGGTCGGATGCCGAAGAAGAGGATGGCGACTCTCCTGCAAAGAGGAAACCGGTCACGCACAGAAACGATCCAAACTTTTGTACCCGTTGGAGGAGTCGCCTGGACTGCCGCGGGTGCACGGTGGAGAGCCGAGTGGAGTTCCCGGCGGTCTCGGCTCAAGGACGAGTTCTTTAGCAGCGCCATTCGAAAGCGTGCTACTGCGGCACACTTGTAGGCCAAAAGAGCCCCCGGCATGTCATTTGCACGCTCGTACTGCGATGCACAAAATCTGGAAAAGACGGTGTTGGTTGCTGTCTCTTTGTCAGGGATAGTCTACTCACTTGAACAGATCCGCCGTGTCGTTGTAAAGAGACACGTTCTCCACAAGAGCTCCACCTTGCAAAAACTTGAGAGCTGCCTGTAAATAAATATCCTTCGCAGTTTCGTCCTGAAACGAACGGAAGTGTAAGTATATGTCAGCTAAGAGTGAAAAACTATCGCTCACCTTTAGACGGTCCGCGTGGTGCTTCAAGTTTTTAGCCGCCTTGATAGCATTGTTTGCAAGGGAGTAATCCTTGGCGTCGTGCTTCCCCTCGAGAATTTCAGCCACTCCTTTCTTGCCTGGCTCCTCGGAAGGATTTGTTCTCTGGGCTTCTTTCCCAGACCTCCTATCCCTGTCAGCCTCAACCTTTGCGTACGTCTCAGCCTTGTCAAACTCCTCGTGCTCGCCTTTCAGCGCCTCCGCATTTTTCAACCGACCCTCGGAACTTCTCACGCTTTTCCTGCTGCTCTTGTCCTCCTTTGCTCTGCCTCGTTCTTCCAAACCGTTCGCCCCGGTGGAAAGACGCCTATCCGTGTCCCTGTCGTCTGGAGCTCCCTCCCTATCCTGTTTATCTTCACCGTGCCTGTACCTGTCCTGGTCGCCTGCCTTTTGGTGAGCCTGTTGCTTTTTATCCATATCTTCGTCCCATGAGCTTTGCTCATTAAACTCGTCCCAGTCATTCAAGAGCTTCCCGTGCTCAGGATGACTCCTTCTGGCTTCCTTCTCGGAGAAGTCGCCTGCGTTCCTCGCGTCGTCAGCCCCCCGGCCTTTGAACGTGTCTACAGACTCATAGGATGGCGAGCAGTTCTCCGATCCTTTCTTCTTTCGTGGTTCCACGCCGTCATTGCTGAGCCTCGAAGAAGTCTTCGGTTGGATATCCGCTGCCTGTCAACCACGCGAACCGCTTTCCCTCTTGTACTACTCTTCTCGGGCTTGAAAAGCTTCGAAGCCTTCCCTGCCTCCTCCCGTTCGCTGTCCTCGTACCTTGCACGCTGGCTGCTTCCTTCCACGTCTTGAACCCTCCTATCCTTTCTGGATTCGTCTGGCTTGTCCTTCCTGCCACCCTTGGCATCAACCGGTCTTTTGCCAGCAGATTTCTCGTGCGACTCAGCATCCTCGTCCGCAAAAGTCTCTTCGTTGGGAATGTCCGCATGGGGGTATCGTCCACGTTGATGTAAACTCCCATCTTCGGGTCTCATCTTCTTGGACATGTGGATATCTTCACTCAAGGCTCTCTTTTTCTTTTTCGCTTTGTCGTGCGGATCTTTAGATTTTTCTTCTTGAGTCTGAATGTTTTTAGCTAGTCGAGACTCGTCAACTGGAAAACCACAAGTGTAAGAACCAGAGAAGAAAGATATAAAAGAACAGACCTTCAGAATGCTTCTTGGACTTTTCTTTCTTCTTAACGGCATGCTTCGCGGGCTTGACATCTAAAGCACGAGACTTCCCAGGTGCCTCCTCATTGTAATCTGGCCTCGGAGCCTTTTTAGTGTGATTAAGCTTGGAAGACATTTCTGCTACAGGAGGTGGCGGATGTGCGGGGGGAGCCAAAAATTGAACCGCAGGTAAACTAGCACTCGAAATTCCAAGGGCGTTGTAGACAGCATTTGTCGACTCCTCCTCGGAGATTCTGCAGTTGTTCATTCCCGGAGGCCTGGCCAAAATGACGACGCATATAACGAAAAGAAGAAAGCCAAGAAGAGAAAAAGAACTTACAGCCATGTGATCATCTCGCACCGCCACCTATCGGACTGCTTGGGAGGATCCATAGTCGGAGGAAGAAGTCGCCAGGTGTGGCAATCGTCACACTCTACCCAATTCTCGTTAATGATTGCCGGTGGTAGAGGGACAACATCTGGAGGAGCAACCGGCTGTTGGAGTTGGAGAGGCGGTTCCGAGAACTTGATATCAGAGCAATCTGTCATTTCCAAAGGCAAAGGCTCGCTAAAGTCTTTGCTTCTTTTGACTCCCTTTGATTTTCCACCCCTTGCCTTGCCTGAAACCGGGTCCTCCTTAAGGTTGTCCCTCCTGAGAGCTTCAGAAGATAGCTCCGACTTCGTCTGTTGTTTAGCAGACTTCTCCTTTTTCTTCTCGTCCTTCGACTTTGGTGGCTTGTCCTCAGCCCGAGACTTCTTCCCTTCTTTACTTGCACTCGCTTCCATTCCTGATGAGCTGTTTACTTTCGGCCTCTTCTTGGCTCTCTTCTCGGACTCGTTTTCTTTTTGTTTTCTTTTTTCCGGATGTGCTTCCTTGGGCACTTCCGGAACAGATGCCTCATCGCGTCGTAACTTCGTCGTAGGCACATCCTTGACAGAAAGAAGTTCCTTTACAGGAGCATAGTCTTTTCTCGATGTAGCCTTGTCTTCTGCTGCAAGATCACAAACTTCCTTCGCTGGCATCTTCTGTTCCTCCGCCCTTGCAGGAATAGAAACAAACTTCCATGCTTCGTCCTGGCTTTTGACCTTGATCTTCTCCTTCCTCACCTCTTGCACCTCTTGCTTAACCTGCGCCTGCCTACGATCCAACTCCATGTCCTTTCTGCCACTGTCCTCTGATAAGTCCTTCAGGTTGTCATCTTCCATTTTCGTGATTCTAGACTGCCTACGTTCTTTTGTCTTGGTCGAGCCACTGTCGGCCACCTTTATGGATCTTCCGACTGGCCTGAGCGTAAGATCGGGCAAAGGTGATAAAAGTCCATCCGGAGGAAGCCGATGTGATAGAATGATCTGAAAGGCAGCGTAAAACATAAATGAAGACATGAACAACAGTAGATAAGGATGGAAAAAAACAACTTTTACCTGTATCATGGATGCAGGGCTTCGGTCGGGGCTGGACTCGGGTCCAGACAAATCGTCGTCTTCGCCTTCAGAAGCCGAAGGCGAAGAGAAACCGAGCCTGTTGTATATAGCAGCATTCCTGCCCCGACCTTCGCTCCCCATCTTTATTCTCAGGGTGATCGAAGACTTCACTTCAGTACCAGTAGAGTCGGGGATTAGCTTGGGCTTTGCGGACGGAGAGGCATGCTGATCAGTTGCCATGTCCGAAACAATCGTGGTGGTAGCCTGCTTCGCCACCTAGAAATCATCAAACTCTATCACTGACCACGACAACAAAATGCAGTCCTTACTTCCAAGTTGGTGATCCCTGGCGGTCGGCAAGGCGTAAGAGGTGACAATCTTCGTCCAGCGGCAGCTGCCGGAGGTGGAACCGCGGGTACTGTTGGTAGGAAAGTTCCATAGCCTCCATACTTCGATCCTGCATTGCAAACCATGTCAAACGTTGGTGTCGGTGGTGCTAGGAGGGAGAGAGCGAGGAGCCTACCCAATTTCTCCGGGTAGTAGCCACCTTCGAAATCCTTGCGGGCGTGACCCAGAAACTCCGCCAGCTTGTGCTCCTGCAAGAGCAAGACAGAAACCTTGGCGTCTCAAAAACGCACAGAAGAAAGCACTCCAAGGAGTGAAGGGAAGTTTTTCTGGCAAACGTACAAGGTGTGGGAAGCAAAGGTCGGAACCGTAATTGGAATCGTTGGCATCGCAGGCCTCGCCTTCCTCGAGCTCCTCGTTGCCTTCCATGGCAGCTAACACATCCCTTTTGTACCCAGCTGATACCTGTAATGCCATTGCGTCGTCACATCCTCCCCGCCGCGATCGATCGAGCGACGCCTCTAACCGCCCCTCCCTGCTCCCTGGGGTCTGCTGCCAATCCTCCCAAAAACCCCCCTCGGCAATCCACAGCGCCCAAGCCTAATCCAAGAGCTCCTATCTGTCCTAGAAATCGTCCTAAACCACGATCCAATTCTGGAATTCCCTGCTCTGGAGCGCCAATTCCCTGGGAATTCGCGGGAATCAGCAGCAGCGTCCGCTGATCCAGCGCGCGGCGCCGCTCGCCCCCGTCATCGCATCGCTCGCGCTTCCCTGCGCCGCCCTGGCGGAGACAATACACACGGAAACTCAACCCTTGCCCCCGCTTAGTCCTAATCTCCTCCCAGCTAATGGTAATTTTACCAGCCACGTGGCGGTCCCCGGTTCGAATCCCGGCTCCATTCTAGGGCAGGGCTTTAGCAGAGGTTTTTGTGCTTGGCCGATGCGCGGCCATGGCGCTGCGCGGCTCCACCAACGATGTGTCAATCCACGACATTAAAGGTAGCGGATGATCCATCCATCCATCCTCACAGCTTTTGGTTTTCTTTTCCATTCTTCTCCAGAGGGATTTGATGTGGAGAAGCTCAAGACAAATGTAGCCAAAGCCTATCTTACATACCACGAGATTCCGGACGTGGGGCTCAAGCACGAACTCCTCCGCCGCATCCGTGACCATATCAAGTAAGCATTGGCCTCCTTGTTTGCGAATTGGCCCGATCGAATGCAGGTGCCGAAAGTGTGGAACTCTCAGGGACTCGTATCCCCCTTCTTCCTTTGTTCTTCCCTGTGATGGAGGTATATCAGCATTGTTAGTTTTCGCTAGAACTAAAGCTCTCTCTTTTTTGCAAAGTTGTGTGTCCGGACGATGTCATCCTCTTTAAAAGTTCCATGTAACTTTATGCGCGAGTCTACTTCTTTTTAAAACTCTTATCTGTTTGTTCCTGTGTATGTGTTGTTTCAGGAACTCGACGGTTGCGGCCCGTGTTCTTTCTGTGTCCCGCCAATGCCGCAAGTTTACGGTGAGAAACTTATCGCACGCTTGTCTTGAGATTAAAGCTTTTCGTTATCGCTGCAGTTGGACGTTTTATGGAGCGAAGGAATGGCACCATACAAAGCTTTCCACCACTATTCTTTTCCCTGGCAAAAGATCGGCCAGCTCCAAAGCACTCGACAAGTAAGTCAGGTGTGTTTTCGCTTGACGGAGAAGTTAACTATCTTCTTTCCAGCCGGCAGAGGACGAAGATCTCAGGAAAAGTACTCGTTTTGAGGTCAATAGGTACATGAGACGCTAATTAAGTCTTTCAGGGAATGCAAAGTCGATTCAATCACAGTTTTTAAAACTAGCAGAGCAAGAAAAGGCATCTGATTTAACCAGGAAACAGCTTAGACCAGGTCTGTAGTGCTCGCAATTATTCTCCTGAACACGATTTATACGCAGAACGAGTCCGCAACAAAGCCAAGAACTCCACTGCCCGTGACGAGCAACATTCCAGGGGTGATGGTAATTTATTCTCTCCAATTCCTCCCGTTTTTTGGTGTTCTACCAATTTCACGGACTACAGGTGCAGGCCCTTCCACAGCGATAGTAGAACACGTAGCGCAAAGGGAAGGAGCGAGCACTAATGCAGGTTCACGCGTGTGCTTTACTATAATACAGTTGTTTTCTCATACTGGCAACAGATCCTTTGACTGCGGCGTATCCTTCAAGTGGCGAGGAACTGGAAGGTGCTTATTTTCTTTATGGAGTTCGACCAAAATAACTTCTTGTGGCAGATGATGGTGACCCTGGCCTTGTCCTCGACTCTGGCGACCGCCAACCCCTTGAAGCCGAAAGAAGGACTGACGTGGAAAAGAGAAGGCTGGATCAAGAAGCTGGAAGTACGTATATCAAACTTCTTAGATTTTGAAATTTTATCGGGGTCCCTTTTTGGTAGACGCCTGTGTTCCCTGCTATGGTGACGACGGGGCGGCTCTCCAGACCCTCGAAGGCGAAGAGAGGAGGAATCAGGACGCTGAAAGTACGTCTCTTTAAAGGTTCTGAGTTCCGACTAATTTGTGGAAGTAGCTGCAGCTGGCGGACATGGCAAAAGGAGAAGACTTGACGATGGAAACGAGATGTACACCAGTCGGGTTCTCAACTTCGACGACAGTGAACCGGTTGATAAAAATCTTAAAGTTGAAGGCAGAAAGAGAATTCTACCTGAAAGTACGTGTAGTTGGAATGTTTTCAGCCCCGGCTAACTTGTGCTCAGGTGAAGCTCGGTCGGAACTACACATGGTTTCTATTGAAGACGAAAAGACAATGCGGGCTAGAGGTACGTCTTGCATTTAGTACATAGTCCTTATCGTTCTTGCAATAATAGATGGAAACGAGATGTACACCGGTCGGGTTCTCAACTTCGACGACAATGAACCGGTTGATCAAAATCTTAAAGCTGAAGGCAGAAAGAGAAATCTTCCTGAAAGTATGTGTAGTTGGAATGTTTTCAGCTCCGGCTAACTTGTGCACAGGTGAAGCTCAAGTACACATGGTTTCTAATGAAGACAAAAAGACAATGCGGGCTAGAGGTACGTCTTTCATTAGACATGCTTCTGATCGTTCTTTTGCAATAGATGGAAACGAGATGTACACCGGCCGCATGCTCAACTTCGACGATAATGAACCGGTCGTGCTGAACCTTGAAGGTGAAGGAGCCAAATGTACGTAGAGCGTCAGTTATACTGTTGATCCCCAACTAACTGATCGCATGGAAGCAGCTGAAACTCCCCGTGAAGTCTGCTCTGAAGGCAGAAAAAGGAAGCGCGACAAAGAATTAAATTGTAAGTGATATCTTCATGTGAGTTTCTTACTATTGAGTTTGGTCGTTCTTGTGGCAGATGTGAGCGAGATGTACACCGAACCAATCGATCGGATTGGAGCTGAACGCAGGAAAAGAAAGAAAAAGGCGGAATGTACGTGAAGCCTGAAATTTCTGTTGTACTAACTTACCCGTGGAAAAGCAGCTGAAGGTCCCCGACATTCACCGCTAGAAGGCAAAAGGAGAAAGCGGAACAACGAGAGTAAGCCATATGTTTTTGCTGGACCCGCATTGCGCTTTCTTGTTCTTATGACAGGTGGGAGGGAGATGTACAGTGGCCGTATCCTCTACTTTGGCGATAGTGAACGAGTCGTCCAAAACTGTGAGGTTGTAGGCAGAAATCAAGAAGGTGGAACTTGAACATTTTATAGTCGAACTTGAAACTAATTTATTATAGTCGATGCAGCTGAAGGTTCCCGACAGTCAGGCAAAAGGAAAAAGCTGTCCAAAGAACCCATAAGTAAGTTATGAGTTCAGCGTTCTTGGTAGCGCTCATGTTATTCGTCATCGAAGGTCACATGTACACTGGCCGCGTTATCAACTTTACTGACTGTGAACCGGGTGTCGAAATTAAAGGCAGAAGGAAAAATCAGTCATTTGAAAGTACGTGATGAAAATTTTCCCATCAAGCTAACTTGCGTGCGTGTTGTGGCACCAGCACAATCGAACCAAGAAACACATGGAAGCAAAAGCAAAAGACGGGACCAAGATGCCAGGAGTACGTCGTTTTGTAACTTCGTAGATTTTCTTCTGATCTATTTTGCATGCACGCAGGCGAGCAGGAGCACGCGCGGCACAAAGGTTTTAATCTCAGATTTGGTTGTTCTTTGTGTGTTGGGCCTCACCCGCTTTGTTTAGGCAAAACGAAGAAGCTGAACCGAAAGGGCGAAAGTACGTCAACGTTTTGCATTGTTTCCTTCTGACTTTGTATTCGCACAGGCGAGGAACGAAACGCCTATACCGCCGGCCACAAAGGTTTGTGTTTCTTTTTATCTGTTCTGTAAAGACGAGAATGTTTTTGTGTCTCAGTTGACAACTCGTTCGAAGCACCAGTACCAGCTCCGAAGCGTCGCAAAAAGAAAGGTATGCCTTTCTGTGCTGTGCTGAAGCTTTCTTCTTTGACATGGTCATCTCAATACAAACAAGCTTTATCCAACAAGCCAGTTGATGGTACGTTCCTTGTCAAACGCATTACGGCCTTTGTAACTCTTCTGTATGGACAGGCCCCAGATCTACGCCGTTGTACAAGCAGAGGCCTGACTGGGAGAAGAAATGGAATCCCCAGTGCCATGTCAAGTGCGTGGGCTGCAAAAAAAACAATGCTTCCAAGATCTGTGTCGAAAAGCGATGCTGCTACTGTTGTAAGTCGTCCAGGTAGGATTGATATTCACAGTTTTGCCGAGACAGTCTAACTTAAAAATCGTTTTTTATTTTACAGATGTGGTCGTCATACGTCCCGCAGAAAAGTATAGATAGAGAGCTATCAGCAAAGACCAGTTTTTTCTTCGCTATTTACGTGAAGCCAGTTCCAGTACTGCTCCAGCATCGCGTCATCGGGTATCACCTCTTTCCAGCGGCCCTCCACAAAGATCATATAAGCATCCTCGGCGTACGTTCCAACACCGTGAAGCTGAGAGATGTCCGTCCAGTCGGTGTAGAGATACTCGTGCGAGAAGCGCTTAATCAGCTCGAGACGCTTCTTGTGCAAGCCAAGCGGCTTGATGAGCGGCTCGACCATCTCGGCTGGAGCATCGATCAAGTGTTGAGGACCGGGAAAGAGCTTGAAGAAATCCCACAGCATTTTTTTGGTCTGCGTGGAAGGCCTTGGCACTTTAGCGAGAAGATAAGAGACTTACCTGAGCTCCGGTGGTTCTATGGAGGAAGATGCAAGCCATGACCACTTTCCAAGGGTCGTGGAAGAGCTTCTCCTGGATGAGCTTATGAGGGGAGCGAGGAGGAATCCAAGCCGGGAGGGGAAAATTCGTCCTTGGGCACCCGAGCAGCGACAGATTCTTGCGTAGCCGACGCTTCCTCTTTTCAAACTCGGCCTTCTTCTCTTCCACCCGGAACTTATCCGCGACTCGCCAAGACGTTTGCTGGATAGACGCGATGATCTCTCGGTGGCTCTTCCCCTCGTGAGCAATCCATGGCGAAGAAGGCCTCTTGTTCTTCCTGGCTTTCTTGCTAAAGTCGGGCTTGGGGAAGTATGGAGTGGTGATGTAGTAGCGCTGCTCCTCCTTGTTCCAGGTGCGTCGCATCTTCTTGGAGGAGCGAGAAGTGGCCTTGCCCAGCAATTCGGCTTGCTGGATCTTCCTTTCCAGAATGCTCATCTCCTTCCTTGGAGCTGGATCATCCTGCCTCTTGCTCGTGTGCACGAACTGGGCTAGCATCTCCGTGAACTTTCGAGCATCTACTGCTGAAACTGGACGATCTTTCCCTTCCTCGCGGTGGATCGGCGGTGCCGGCAGCTCAATCGCCCGAAGCCGGCGACTCGAGCAAGCTCCACACAAGGACGAAGAAGAGGAGGACGAAGAAGACCAAGAGGAATCTTCATCGCTCTGCGAGGAGAAAAAGAAAGAATGAGAGATTGCTTCGCAGATGACATGAGATTTCTTACATTTCTCCTCTTCCCCATCGCAAGCGCGCCTGGATCGATCACGCGCGCCTCCACATTTCTACGCTGCGGCGCGCCATTCATGCATGACACCAAAGCCCTTAGGGTTCTTAGCTAGGGTTTCGGAATCCCGAGGAGGACAATGGCGAAGCAGCGACTGGAGCTCGCGATTTGGATTCCGGCGGGCTAAGCAGGCAAGCGCTCAGCTATGAGGATTGGCGTGCCCAGCGGCAGCTACATTTCCTTGCTGGCGCCAGCGCTGCTCGTCTCAATTGGCTCCATCGACCCGGGGAATTGGGCCACCTCCATCGAGGGAGGCTCGCGCTTCGGCTATGAGCTCGTCTGGGTCGTCTTTCTCGCCAATCTCATCGCTCTGCTGCTCCGCTCGCTGGCCACGCATCTCAATCTCGTCAGCGGCAAGCATCTGGCTCAGGTACTTGGGGAGCTCTTTCAGTCGAGAAAGATTTCTCCTTCTTTTTGTGTCTTTCACTTTCTTTCTCGATCGATCGAGCGCTTCGCTAACTTGGTCTTCTCAAAGGCTTGTCACGATGAGTATCCCAGCGGCGTGTGTCTGCTACTCCTCTTCTTGTCAGAGCTGTCGCTGGTAGTTCTCGACAGTGCCATGGTACGTAAAGTTTGGAACTTCTTTGCTCCGAGACAGCGAGTAATGCTCGGATCTTCTTGTTTCCAGGTCCTCAGTAGCGCAGTGGGACTTAATATGGTGCTCGGGCTTCCCGTGCTTGTGGGGGCGCTGCTAGTTGCTCTAGACGTGTTTTTCCTGATGGGATTCGTGCCTTTTCTGGTGCGTAGATCTTTTCTCTTCCAAAACTTTTTTGCGCTGACACACCGTGGTATGGTTCTTCGCAGGGCCCCGGAAAGGCCGAAGTTATCCTCGGGGTCATCGTGTTGTCCATGGTACTCGTTTTTGTGCTGAATGCATTTGTGAGCAGGCCTCCAGTGGTGCCCATCCTGGGAGGGCTGTGGCCCAGGCTTAAAAGTGACAGTCTTTACGCTGTCGTTGGTCTCCTGGGAGCTAATATCATGCCCCACAATCTTTATCTTAACTCCGCACTGGGCCAGGTACGCTCTCGAGTGAAAACAGAGAAAAGAGAGAGAGAGAGAGAATGAAGAAAGGAGTATCTAAGCTTGCTCATGTTATTCCCTTGTCTTGTTGCAGGAGCAGCGAAAGGCCGACCGGATTTGCTGTGCTCCCACTATCCTTGACTTTATACTGACTGCCGGAATGCCTGCCGCTATCAATTTGGCTGTTATGGTAGTAGCGGCATCAACTTTCCACAGTGCGGGCTTTGCCGTCCTTACGCTTCAGGACGGCTGCGTTGTTATGGAACAGGTATGCATGCTATGACAGATGCTCTTGTGACACCTTTCTTACTTTCTCCTGTATCTTTTTACTTCCAGGCTCTGAGCCGGTCGGTGGCGCCTCTGGCTTTCGGCTCAGCTCTGCTTGCTGCTGGAGTTTTCTCGACACTAACAGGGACGTTGGTCAGCCAGGTTGCTAGTGAGGGACTTCTCGGGAAACGTATCGACGCATGGCGTCACCGGCTTGTGATGCGAGCGGCAGCAGTGACCATCGCAGTTTTTTGCGCCTGGTCGTATGGCAACGAGGGGATTTACCAGCTGCTCGTCTTATCTCAGGTTATACTCGCTCTTCAGCTTCCTTTCACGCTGGTTCCTCTCATTCGGCTGACGTCGTCTGCGGCTTACATGGGGAAGAACAAGATCTCTTCACTTTGGGAAGTGCTCGCGTGGTCAGTATTGGCTTTCGTGATATCACTCAACCTCTGCTTGGTGTTTAGTACGCTCTTTAGCCAGAGCGAGGAGTTCGGGGGGTCTACAAACTGGGAGTTTGTGGCTGGTTCTGATTCCAACTCTCTGACCGTGCCAGTCGCTCTCACGGTGGTGACTGCTGCGGTCGGCTTTCTAGTCTGGCTCATCTTTGCTCCGATCAGGTCCGACACTCCGGCTTTCGCTGTTGAAGAGAAAGATGGTCAGCCCATGGACAAGGAGAAGGATCTAGTGTATTACATTCCTTTGGATGGCAACAGTTCCAGGAGTAGTGATGTAGGAACCGTCGAGGACATCATCAACACTGAAAGAGCCGAGCTGATATCGGAGAGTGAGGTCGGGACTGTGACTGTGGTGGAGTCTGAAGCCGATGAGTGCCTGCCAGTGTTACAGCAAAGTGAAGTTGACGCCAGCCATCTCAGCGACAGTGTACGTGAAGATACAGGTGAAGAGGAAGCCAGCATTACCGCGACTTCCAACAGCTCCGATGTTGGTACTGAAGAATGCCCGTCCTCGCGTGTTGATCACCATCATATCGACCATCATATCGAGCCCGAGCCAACTTCTGTTCCAACTAACGACAACGTTCCATACAGTAGCGGCGAAACAAGTGCAGTAGCCTCCTCTGAAATTGGCGGACTAGACAAGGACGCTATTTCCCTGGAGAAGGACGAGGAAGAAGCCGAAAGCTGGGAGAATCTCGAGCAGGACTGCGCGGTTATGAGCTCAGCTCTGAGCTTAACTTATGAAGGGATTGAATCAGTAATAAGTACCAGGAAGGAGTCGAGCGACGGATGCTCGCATGGAAGCGAAAGCGGAAGCCTCTCGAGGTTGTCTGGACTGGGGCGTGCATCACGAAGACAATTTGCTGCTACTCTGGATGAGTTTTGGGGACGACTGTTCGACTTACACGGCCAACCCGTCAGGTCCGACTCGGTGATCAAACCAAGCGTCTCTCAGAACAGCCGGACGACGCACTCCGACAATGGTCCATTCGCCGCTCCTCGACAAGCTGCGAAGCGGGACTACAAGAGTTGCTTTTCCGGCTCCGTGGATCCCTTTGGACGGGTGCACTCCAACTTGGCCGCTTCTACGTCGTCCCAGAGCCCGAGCAACAGGTGGTGCTTCGACTACAAAAGTGGCTACTCAGGTGGCGACCAGCGGTACTCGAGTTTGCGAAGCTTTGCAGCTCACGAAGATCTGGACTGCCAACCAGCGACAATTCACGGGTACAACATCGCTTCCTACACTAGGCCAGGCAGCGTGGAGCAGCAGTCAAGCGCTCGAGCACGCTCGTCCCTGCATTTGGACGTGGCTTCACGTACAGGTGGCTGCCTTTCCCAAGTGCCCGCTTCTTATTACGCCAAGGCAAACTTTGATCAGTCCGACACCATGACTCGTGTCTTTCAGCCAACGCAAGACATGTTCTCGGCTTCCAAAGGTGGTCAACGAGGCGTTGATGATACGTCGTCCTGGCTACCAAGGTCCACGGACTACGAGCAGTGGAGCTCCTTCTCGAACAACTCGGTAGACAAGTGGAATCCACTCGTATACAGGGCCACCGGTGAGCTGGACAAGTCGCTACTCTCGCATCCCATTGGGAGATCGGAGAACTCGGAGAGAACAACCTTGTCCTTTGACGACATCTCTCCATCGCAAACACACAGGGACGGCTTCTCGATACAGGCTGCTGCGCAACAGACCGAGTCACTGTGGTCGAGACCAGTCGAGCACCTCTTTGGAGCTCCCGGCGAGCAGAAGTCCGTGGCTACGACGAACAACGCAAACAACAACACCAAGGCATTCCGACTCTCCACCGGGGTTGAGTTCGGGCTTGACACTTTGGAGCAGCTGCGCCTGTGCGTGAGGAAGCTGCTACAGCAGGAAGGATCCGAGTGGCTGTTCCAGATCGACAATGGCTGCGACGAAGATGTCATTGCCGGTGTCGCTGCTCGAGAAAAGTCCCTGCTCGACTTGTCGGAGCCTGGGGAGGCCGCCAGTGTATATAGCAACGGGACGTCCATCTGGAGCGTCAACAAGGTGGTGGTGCCCGGGGTGCCGCACTGTGGCGACTCCTGCGTCTGGGGAAGCGGCCTCCTCGTCAGCTTCGGAGTGTGGTGTGTGCATCGTGTGCTGGAGCTGGCACTCATGGAGAGCAGGCCCGAGCTGTGGGGGAAGTACACTTACGTACTCAATCGTCTCCAGGTACTCCTTGCTTTCTTATTTTCCAGTTCTTCGTTTCTCATTCATCCATCGCTCTTGGTGCTTACAGGGAATTCTGGATCCTGCGTTTCTAAGTCCGAGAACCGTGCTGCCGCCGTGCATATGCTTGCAGGGGTATCAACTCGTTGGCAGGCGCAACGATGCGGCTGGCTGGTCGTCGTATCCATTCCCCTGGCCGTGGGGGCGGAACACAAGCAATCCCAGTGGAAAGGCCGCGAGCGGCAACCTCTACCTGGACATGATCAAGGAGGTGGAGACTGCCGTCGGAGCGAGGAAGGGAAGAACAGGGACTGCTGCTGGAGACGTCGCCTTTCCGAAAGGGAAGGAGAACCTTGCATCGGTGTTGAAGCGGTACAAGCGTCGGCTTGGAAACCACAAGAGTGGCAGCTGCAATCGAAGGTGACGCTCTATACTCTCTCTTTTCTTCTTCCTCTTCTTGTTCTTCGTTCTTTTTTCGCTCGAGCTTCTTTTTTTCCCTCCATATAATGTTGATGGGCTCCCTTTTCGCATGAAATATAGTTCCAGTTTTCGAGCTCTCCATAGCTCTTCGTGCAATGCAGCCATGGCCGGTGGCTTCATTCCATCACTCGAGCAATGCAAGTGTGAGACATATCGTGCTCGTCCTTTCGTGCACAGATATAGACGAGGCAAGGAGAATCCATGCTAGTGGTTTGGAAGACGATCTCTACGTTGCTAGCAACCTTGTCACGGTCTACTCCAGGTGTGGCAGTCTCGTGGACGCCAGCAAAGTGTTCCACAAGATGAAGCACCGCGACGCCATTGCATGGAATGCGCTCATTCGAGCTTATGCTGTGAGCGGGCATGAGCTTTTCCTTGCCATGGAACTGGAGTGCATGGCGAATGGTCGCACTTTCGTCACCCGTCACGAGCCTTGCTGCGGAAGGAGCAAATCCCTGGAAGATGACAAGCTTGGAGAGGGGAATGGCGATTCATGCTCGATCTCGAATGCAAAGCCTCATCTCGAGGGATTTTTACGTTGGAAGCAGCCTCATCGACATGTACTCCAAGTGTGGGAGCATGCAAGACGCAAGGCGAGCCTTCGAAGAGATGGACGTGGTTTCATGGAACACGCTGATGCTGGGATATGCTGACGAGAGTGGAGTCTCCCTCCTGACTATATCGTTCCAGTAGAGCATTCCAGCTTACCAAGTTCTTCTTCAAGGACGTGGAGTCGAAAACATGTTGAGCGGCAGCCATGTTGCCACATTTGCCAAGAGATCGAGCAAACAAGTGAGCATGCCTGTGAATCTCGCGGTGGATCGTTTTTCCAAGTTGCAACGAAGGAAGGATCACACAGGCCTTGAGTGCACAGGAGCACGTCCAAAGATCTGGCCTGCATCGCCGATCACCAGACACCATCTCCTGGTATAACTCTAGAGCTAAGTGGGCTTCAACATACCCAAGAAGCATAGTGTTCCATGAAACATAGTCCTGGAGACGCTCTTGAATGTCAGTGCGTGCGTCCACCAAGCTACCACACTTGAAATACATGTCAACCTTGCGTGCAGTGCCATCATCTTGACAAGTTTTCCTCCATTGCCGAGCTCACATCCATCTTCCTTTCTCGCAAGGTTAGAGCAAGCTTTCAGTGTTGCAATGAAAGTCCAAGAGTTCGATGCTGCACATGAGGAAACGTGAGAGCCAGACTCTGAGAGACTCAAACAGCTCCAGAGCAATCTCACCTTGATCGTCGTGTTTGAAGAGTTTTATCAACTGTTAGATGCAGGCTTGAAGCCAGACAGTGCAACCTTCTTGTCCATTCTCGCTGTGTGCAACCACTGCGGCCTCGTCAAGGAGGGGAAGCTTTGGTTCCGGCTTATGTCTTCCTGGTATGAAGTCCTGCCAAGCACGGCTCATTACCATTGTGTCATTGATCTTCTTGCCAGGGCGGATGAGCTTGACGAGGCCATGATCATGATGGAAGAGATGCCTGTCGAAGCTGATAATATAACATGGAAAATTCTCTCGCAAACTAGCAATAAGATTGATCACGCACGGACGGAGTGCAAGCACGTCCACTCCAAAGTTCCGGGAAAAAATGGCATTGTGTGGATGAGCTCTCTGGCATCGTCCAAGTAGCCCGACCTGGCTAGGTTTGCTGCGAAGAACACCTGAAATGCCTCAAGCATATGTCCGTTTACAGCATAACCGGAGAGAAGCTGGCTGACGGAGATGAGATCGGTCTCGGGCATTTGGTTTAGCATCCTCGAAGCAAGTTCCAGGTTCCCGTCTTGGATCAAGGCACCTAAAGCCGTAGTCCATGAAATAATGTTTCGAGCCGGCATTTGGTGGAAGACGTCGATCACATTAGAAACGTGGCTGTTTCGAGCGTATGATGCCAGGTTCTGGTTTTCTGTGAAACAAGCTGTCGGTCTGCTCTGTCGAATCTCCACTGCTGTAAACCGAAAGAAATGCGTTCCAGGTCACAGTGCTCCACTCGGGCATGGAGTCAAAGGTACACTTTGATAACTCCAGATGGCCGTCCCGAGCGTGAGCTGAAGTCCAGGAGATAAGGTTAGTTTCTGGCATTTCGTTGAAGAGTGGTCAGACGAATGTAGCCGTGGTCCTTCTGCTAATATTGTGTTGCACGAGGTCAAACTCCTCTCGGGCATTCTGGAGAAAGTTGCTAGAGCCAGTTCCATAAACCCGTTTTGGGCACAGGCAGCTAGGATAGCGTTCCAGGCAACAATGTCGTGTTTGGGCATCTCTTCGCCGTCCAAGATACCATGTCGGCTCAGGGGAGTCAAGAAACATAAGTTTTGTGTCAAGCAAATGCGCAACCAGCATCAACGTCCAGGGGAAGAGATTTCTCAGGGGCATCATGTCAAAGACCTCCTTGGCTTCCTTTCTCTTGGCATACGCAGCTAGAATAGCAGTCCAGGAGACAATGCCCCTGTGTGACATTGGAGTAAAAAGGAGCTTAGCCTTTTTTATATACTCGTTGTGGATATAACTGTAAAGCATAAAGTGCCAGGATAAGAAGTCCCATCTTAAAAGACTAACATGGGAATAAGTATATTAATTGAGGTTTAAATGGATGAAAATATAACAGAAACAAAAACTTGCTCTATTAATTATTCTTTGAGTTACCAATTCTCCTACAAATGGAATTTGTGTAGTTTATATACCTGAGTGATCTTCTAGCAAGACTATGGTAAAAGATCACCTCAAGCAAATCAATCACCTTTGTTTGGTTTACAAGCTCATTGTTCCATGTGAGTTTGTGTGTGTGTGTTTTATATATATATATATATATATCTTTCTTGCAATGGAGCCACACCATAGCTCCAAGCTAACTAACATTCTCTCCCACATAGATTTACCAAGCTCTTCACATCCATGCAGCGATTGCCAGAAGAGACACTAGGAGAATACAAGCAGCTCGTGTTGTAACTCACCACTAAAGTGCCACAGCAGCTCTGGAGAAGGCGGCCAACCAACTGGAATGCGGGCCACAGATCAGTGGTCGGACCAATCACGCGTGGTAGTGGCTCGAGCGCGCCAAGTAAGCCATTGGAGCACCGTGTTGCCAGGTCGACGATCTCCGCCTTGTTGCAGTCCCTCCCTTGCGCATCCGCGAGGAGAACAGCCAAGCTTGTGACAAAAAGAAGGGAGAACACACTCTTCATCTCCAAACTCTAGGTACTGCAATGCAATCCCAACAGGTGAGAGAAAATGTGAAATGAAGTAATGGTTTTTCTCGGACATGTGTCACACTGAGCACCATAGAAAAGGAACAAACAATGTGAGTGTTCAAAACAGAGAGAGAGAGAGAGTGATGATGCAGTTGAGGACGATGGTGATAGTGCTCGTGGTGGCTGCGGCACTGCTAAGCTATGGGTATGCCCGTGACGATCGCTCCAAAAGGTGTGATGGTAAGAGTGTCTTAGCCACGGCTTCTGGATGCTCCAAGAGGATTGTCAAGACATTGCGCTCGCTTTCGTCCCAAAACCAGCGAGAGGTTTTCGGGAGCTTGAGAAGCGGCGTGTTGAACGAGTGCTGCTCGAGCCTCTTGCGATTTTCTCTGCCATGTCTGTGCAGCCAAGAGCTCCAGAAGGGCTGCGTCAATGTAACTAAGTTCGTGCCACTGTGGAAATCCTGTCACTAGCTTTCACTTGGCCTGTTCAAAATTAAAAAGGAACGAAAAAATGCGAAAGTTTTTTCGAAGGCTACAAAGGATCAAGAGGGATACGAGCAAGTAAGTCCAAGGTTGATAAAAATATTAACGTTACCTGTTTGCAACTGATATCATCCCGATACAGGTGCTTAGAATCGTTCTCGCAAATACCTTAAGAAATCTCAAGGTCGGCTAAGCAGTCACTCTCAAATTTTTCGAGTCTGGACAATTTTGACAAGAGCGGACAATTCATCAGGATAGAGGTGAAGGAACAAGTAAAAATGGCGACTTTGAAGAGTATGAAACACTGTTGCAAGGCGTCAGATTTGAGTTTAAAAACGAGTCAGGAGGTTCACAGATCCTATCTAGGAAAAGCACAAAATGCAGACTCTCGAGGAGTACCTTGGCAACGGTGTTCTCGCGGGAAGCAGTAAGATCTTCACCACAAATGGCTACGACGACGTCCACTCACTCAAGTCCATGACCAAGAACGATATGAAATCTCTGGGGCTCACTAAACAGCAGCAGATAAGTACACGCATCAACAAAACTTTACTTGGCCTAGATGTCGTTGCAGAATGCCTTGGAGCTGAGAGCTTTCTTAGATGGTCACGGGCTTTTTGAGTACGCAGACGCCTTAGAGGCAACTAGAAAGACTTTGGCCGAGCTCCGCAGGGGCAGCTCGTCCGTCTTGAGCACCCGTTATGGCATGAAGAAGGGACACGCTTCTCGCTTCATGGAACAGGAGAGCCCTTTGGGTGATCCGAAATTCACTGCTGGAGGGTGTTACCTTTTCAATTTCACATGGTTAGTTATCTGGGAGCTTGCTACATATTTAAGAACGAATGCTTAGATCATCACCGCTTTTATAAACAATACGCTTCTCGCCGCTTTGGGCCACATCCTTGCCTGCAAAGTCGTAAAAGGTGAGTTTGGATTGGATCTAAACCGCACTCAGTACTCACTTATTTTTGTGTCTTTAGTTTTCGTGGGCAATCCCTGCCTAGATGAGTGACCTCGCCGCATAGCTTGCAGCATCCACCCTGAAACAGTCCCAGTGAAGTCAAGCAGCATTCACATACCTTTGGATAGATTCCACAAGTGTTTCTTGGACAATTCTGACCTTTCTTGCAGAGGAAACAATCTGCGATTGGGAAACATAAAGAAAATATCCTTAAGAGGTTGCGAACAATGACCTAATCTGTGTCCTGTTTCACCATAGCAAAACTTAGCTTCCTTGTCCTTGACATCTCCAGCTGGGCAATGCAGCCATGGCCGGTGGCTTCATTCCAGCACTCGAGCAATGCAAGTGTGAGAGGTGTCGCGCTCGTGCTGTCGCAGCTCAAGTCCTGTAGAGATATAGGCGAGGCAAGGAAAATCCATGCTAGTGTTATCGACAATGGTTTGGAAGACGATCTCTACGTTGCTAGCAGCCTTGTCACCGTCTACTCCAGGTGTGGCAGTCTCGTGGACGCCAGCAAAGTGTTCCACAAGATGAAGCACCGCGACGCCATTGCATGGAATGCGCTCATTCGAGCATATGCTGTGAGCGGGCATTTTTCCGAAAGAGCTCTGGAGCTTTTCCTTGCCATGGAAGCGGAGTGCGTGGCGAATGGTCGCACTTTCGTCGCGGTTCTTAAGGCCGTCACGAGCCTTGCTGAGGAAGAAGGAGCAAATCCCTGGAAGATGACAAGCTTGGAGAGGGGAATGGCGATTCACGCTCGATCTCGAATGCAAAACCTCGTCTTGAGGGATTTTTACGTTGGAAGCAGCCTCATCGACATGTACTCCAAGTGTGGGAGCATGCAAGATGCGAGGCGAGCCTTCGAAGAGATGGAAACACTCGACGTGGTTTCATGGAACACACTGATGCTGGGATATGTTGACAACGATCAAGGTGAGATTGCTCTGGAGCTGTTTGAGTCCCTCGAGTCCAGCTCTCACGTTTCCTCGTGTGCAGCATCAAACTCTCGGACTTTCGTTGTAGCGCTGAAAGCTTGCTCAAACCTTGCGAGAAAGGAAGATGGATGTGAGCTCGGCGATGGAGAACTTGTCAAGGTGAAAAGTCTCGAGAAAGGCATGGCACTGCACTCAGAGGCTGCAAGGAGGAGGTTTGTGTCAGATGTTTATGTCGCCAATTGTGTGGTTGACATGTATTCCAAGTGTGGTAGCTTGGTGGACGCACGCACTGCCTTCGACAACATTCAAGAGCGTCTCCGGGACTGTGTTTCATGGAACACTATGCTTCTCGGGTATGTTGAAAGTGGTGAAGCCCACTTGGCTCTAGAGTTATACCAGGAGATGGTGTCTGGTGATCTGCAATGCAGGCCAGATCTTTGGACGTGCTCCTGTGCACTCAAGGCCTGTGCGATCCTTCCTTCATTGCAACTTGGAAAAACGATCCACCGCGAGATTCACAGGCGTGGATTTGAGCCTGACAGTGTCCTGCTCACTTGTTTGCTCGATCTCTACGGCAAATGTGGCAACATGGCTGCCGCTCAGCATGTTTTCGACTCCACGTCCTTGAAGAGGAACTTGGTAGGCTGGAATGCGCTACTGGAAGGTTATAGTCAAAAGGGAGACTCCACACTCGTGTTTGAAGAGTTTTATCAACTGATAGATGCAGGCTTGAAGCCAGACAGTGCAACCTTCTTGTCCATTCTCGCTGTGTGCAACCACTGCGGCCTCGTCAAGGAGGGGAAGCTTTGGTTGCAGCTCATGTCTTCCTGGTATGAAGTCCGACCAAGCACGGCTCATTACCATTGTGTCATTGATCTTCTTGCCAGGGCGGATGAGCTTGACGAGGCCATGACCATGATGGAAGAGATGCCTGTCGAAGCTGATAATATAACATGGAAAATTCTCTCGCAAACTAGCAATAAGATTGATCACGCACGGACGGAGTGCAAGCACGTCCATTCCAAAGTTCCGGGAAAAAATGGCATTGTGTGGATGAGCTCTCTGGCATCGTCCAAGTAGCCCGACCTGGCTAGAAGATCGACTAGACAGCAATAGTGCTGCCTTGTGGATTGGATCCCAAAGTCGCCCGCCATCGACAGAAAGTAGGACCTTGCGAGATCCAGCGAACCAACGTGGCTGCACGCGATCAGGAACGAAACAAAGCAAGCTTGGTCGATAGCATAGACGAGGTTTGCTGCGAAGAACATCTGAAATGCCTCAAGCATATGTCCGTTTACAGCATAACCGGAGAGAAGCTGGCTGACTGAGATGAGATCGGTCTCGGGCATTTGGTCTAGCATCCTCGAAGCAAGTTCCAGGTTCCCGTCTTGGATCAAGGCACCCAAAGCCGTAGTCCATGAGATAATGTTTCGAGCCGGCATTTGGTGGAAGACGTCGATCACATTAGAAACGTGGCTGTTACGAGCGTATGATGCCAAGAGTGCATTCCACGAGACGAGATCCGGTTCTGGTATTCTGCCAAACAAGCTGTCGGTCTGCTCTGTCGAATCTCCACGGCTGTAAACCGAAAGAAGTGCGTTCCAGGTCACAGTGCTCCACTCAGGCATGGAGTCAAAGGTACACTTTGATAACTCCAGATGCCCGTCCCGAGCGTGAGCTGCTAGCAAAGAAGTCCAGGAGATAAGGTTAGTCTCTGGCATTTCCTTGAAGATTTGAGATACTTGGTCGGACGAATGCAGCTGTGGTCCTTCTGCCAGCATTGTGTTCCACGAGGTCAAACTCCTCTCGGGCATTCTGGAGAAAGTTGCTAGAGCCAGTTCCGTATGCCCGTTTTGGGCACAGGCAGCTAGGATAGCGTTCCAGGCAACAATGTCGTGTTCGGGCATCTCTTCAAAAACGTTTATGGCGCTCTTAACAGAACCATTTTGCGCGTACGCCGTGAGCAACGCTGTCCAAGATACCATGTCGGTCTCAGGGGACTCAAGAAACATAATTTTTGCGTCAAGCAAATGCCCATTTCGGGCATACGCAACCAGCATCGACGTCCAAGAGAAGAGATTTCTCAGGGGCATCATGTCAAAGATCTCCTTTGCTTCCTCCAAACGGTTGCTCTTGGCATACGCAGCTAACATAGCAGTCCAGGAGACAATGTCCCTGTATGGCATTCGAGTAAAAAGGAGTTTAGCCTCCTCTATATACCTGTTGTGGATATAGCCGTAGAGCAGAAAGTGCCATGAGAAGAAGTCCCGTTCTTTGAGGCTTTGAAAGACCGACAGTGCATCCCCTATGCTTCCACACCTTCCATACATGTCAATGAGCTTGTTTGCAACAAAGAGATCTACCTCCAAGCTGGGACGAGATCCATTATAGGCTGCTACTGGAAACCTCATCTTTCTGTTGGATGTGAAACCATCAAAATGTATCTTATACTTATGTATTACTAATTATCTTAGATACTAAGTATTCACTCCTGTTCGTGCTTGCTGTGTTCTGAAGGACAGAAATTATGTCCCAAATATATTATTAATGGCTACTTTTTTGGTGCCAGGTAACAGAGACAGGGCACGTCAATCACATGATGGACACTCTCGGGCGTGAACTTGGCTACAAACACCACCAGACTGAGGCAAAAGAATCTGAGGAGATAGAGCAAGCAGCAGGGCGAAGGGAGGAAGAGGTGAGGAGGAGGTGGAGAATTTGACAAAGTAATAAACTGAACTGTATTGCATAATGTCTCATGCTTCTCGATGGGCCGGCACTACGAGACTAGAAACAGATGATAGATAGATATTATCTCATGCCCGTGTGGGCCTGCTACTAGGCCATCATTGCTGGACTTGGTGCTACTTTGAGGTTCCTCAGTGTGGAGATGAACTTACATCCATCTTTCTTCATGAGGCTTGTATTTGTTTTGCTAATGTTTAAAGAGGCATTTAGTTTATCTACTTCTGATATATTTGTATATCAGAAGACCCCCATGGCTGACTTACTAATCTCTTTAAAATAGAGTTGCAGTTTTAGAAAACACTTAAATTGGTTCATCTCATGCATACTAAGTTGGGTTTATGATGATGGTCTTTTCATAGTCAAGTTTTGGGTTGTAAACACCTTCCCAAGGAGTAAATAATTGTAAAGCTCATGAATGCTATTATTCACTACAGCCTTCCAAAGCCTTTGATATGATCCTACTAATCTACCTTTTATTTATAATTATATAATTTCAAGCACTTTGGAAAGGCTCATATAGAAAAGAAATAGTTAGTAATGCTCCTTATTTTCTGGTGTGATTGATAATTTAGGAGTTTAGTTTTCTATGTGAGATTATCATCACAGACCATATGGATTAACAAATCATAATAAGTCATCCAATACATTTGGGTCAATTACCTAGGATATCTACCACTGTACAGCATATGGCCAGGATTTTGGGAGGAGGCCTGCCAATGGCAGCAGCAATGTGGCTATTATATCTAATAATTTAAACAAAGTTACAAGACAAAACATGATCCTTTCACAAGTATTCTGTCAAGCTCATACAACAGAACACCAAATGAATACTTGGCTGAAAGGAAGTTTATAAAGGCTCATGATAGGTATATTTTATTTCTTGTTTTCAAGCTTGTATTGGTATGAATGAATGTATATATATGTATATATACATTCATTCATTCATTCATTCATTCATTCATTCACTCACATGAATAAAATTGAAATTTATATATAGGTTGTTCAAGTAAACATTATCAATCACTATATTGATTGATTTTTCAAAATGCTCATAACTTTTATATATGCATGTTCATCCACCATTATCAGCATGGGATTCTAAGACAAATTGTATATATTTTGAATAGAATTTTTTATTAAATTTATCATAGTTCATAAATTAAAAAATAAGTATAAAGAAATCAGATATTTATTTTTGAAATAAATAAATTTTTTGTATAGTACTTTCTCACAAAATTATTTTACTTATTAAAACTCTAGAAAGTGTGGTGATTGATATATTTGTTCTTATTTATAAAAGAATTTTATCATAATAGTGCACATTCTTAGTTTTTATCTTTAGTTGATTATAACTACTAAATACTAAATAACTATTGTTCATTTAAATTTTTCCTTGTGTTTAATTGGTCAAGGTTTTCATTATGTTAGAATATTATAAATATAAAATAAAACCTTTCTTTAGATTTAAAATTTCAAACTAAACTATATTTCAGTTGTCAATGAGATAACCTTCATCCATATTTGTTATTTTTTAAATTTTATATATATATATATATATATATATATATATATATATATATATATATATATATATATATATATGTGAGTGCATGGAACATGGAAAGGGAATACAGAAATGTGCATCTCAATTAGCCCGAAAACCCTAGCTTATATACAGGAGCGAGTGGTCCGGATTGAAACCAATCCGACGGCTACCAAAATCCACTACGCTAATATTAGTATACGGCATCGTAGCCGTACACTTGGCCCTCACATCATCCCCTCCTCTCGGAATAATGGAAGGCCGTCAGGGTTCTCTTGTAGATGGGCCGGGATCTGGAGGAACGTCAGGAGGAGGCATCGGTGGATCTGTAGACGGTATTAACTGCTCCTGATCCCTTTGTATGAAGCGTTTTAACCGCTGCACATGCACAATCTCCGGAGGATCGGCCTGCTGAATGTCATGCCGAACCTCATAAACTTGTGGTCCAACTTGCCGCAACACCCGATACGGTCCTTTCCACTGCGCAAGGAGCCCCTTAGATAAACCACGTACCGTAAGATGGGGAAAACGGACTAACACTAAATCATCCACTTTGTACTCCGCTGGTGGACGATGATGGGAATTGTAGCGCCGTTGTTGTCCCACTTGTACGCGGCCTAAGTGTTCAGCAGACTCTGCTCGGACAAGTGGAAGAATGCTTGTCAAATATTGATCCCATGACCTAGCATGGGGAGCTCATGGCAATCGCGA